ACTGGCAACACGCACTGGTTGTACAATCTAGTTTTCAGAGATTGGGGTATATCTGACGAGAAGATGTGTCGTAATTTCCCGAACGCTGCCCAGCCGAGTCGAATCCGTCGATTGACCTCTCGGTCGAAGTTGAACTTACCTAGTCGGACTATTTGTCCCAGGTAAACGTACTCGTCAACAACTTCGTTCTAAGTGCTCCCAACAACTACTGGCATAGGTGTGACATGGGCGTAACACATGACCTTTGGTTTGTCTACGTTCATCTAAAGATCCAAATAAAGTGGGTGACGTACTCGCCATTGATGTTAATACGTAACCTACCTATTCTTTCCAGTCTAGTAGCTGTAAAACGTCTTCCAATTCAGCAGTGAAGAGTTTTGGGGATATAACGTCACCCCGTGTTACACGTCTCTGCAGAGGGATGAGTTCCTTACTCATCCCTCTATATATAAATTTTTGCTGTCCCGTTAAAAAATCCGTTAGCCGTTAAACACAATTTTTTCTCGTTGCCAACCTCGCTGTCCCGTCAAATCTAACGGGAAACCCGTCAAATTGGCAACACTGCTTATGAGCTTATGAGTCATAGTCAGCACCGCGTGCCGTGTACCGAAATGCCTATTATTTAATTAATTATAAGTAATGATCTTATAAATATACACTATTGAGGTGCGCTAAATATTGAAACAATAACTAATACTAAATCCCAGTTAATAATGTAATAAATACGAAAGTCGACTATACTCTTAGTTTAGTTATAAGTACTAAAACGGAAATATTTGGATAAAAAAAATTAAGGGTGGTATTCAACTTGTTATATATTTAAAGACCGGCTGTCATAAGTTTTGATTGCAGATTCTTACATTATTACAGGTATAAGTATAATTAATAATGTTTAGTGTTCCTAATAGAATCAATTAAGTGACAAATAATAAGAAAAAGATAAAAATTTACAAGTTTCAGATTTATTCCTTTGTATTCACCTAATTACCTATCTGCACGCCAAATTTGAACTTTCTAGGTTAGCTGGAACTGGGTTAGAGTTTTGATCTATAGGTCAGCAAGTGATAAAAATGACGATTTTTGAACGTTAATATATAAATAACCGTTTGATATATGTTTTTGAAATTTAGAGCACATATGTATCTTGTAATTCTCAATAAATGAGCCAAATTTGACACGTTTATGTGAAATATTATTCGAGTTATGAGGGGGTCAAAAGTGGCTCCAAATAGTTCGTGTAATATACACATATGTAATATTAATACACACGGTGCGGCTCGCCTTTCTGTTTGAACTTGGCTTGACACACTATCGCGTGTCTAGATCTGTATATGTATACGTTAGGCTAATATTTATAACCTTATATGTGTTTCTTTTATTCTTAAAGTTAATACTGGCAATGTCAAACACAAAATAGGATGTAATGATTTCTTAAATTTACGCGAACACTACTACTTCACTACTTTTACTTATTTTTAATTCCCGACGTTTTGAGCACTTTACAGCAGCCATGGTCACGGGGGGACTGAGATGTTCAACGTCTAGATGTCATAATTAAGCGCGGTTACCATATATTAAAATTTAACTTTTGTTCCGATCTACACAGTATGAACTTATGGTATCTTGAAGTCTTGCAGTTGTATGCTTGGGATTTAATTTTATTTATTATAAGATCCCAAGCAGATGGTAGCACCCAGCCATCTTCTCTATTGTATTTAGGATGTTTTTTGATTTCAATAGCCTCGCAAATCATCCTAGGAAGGAATCGATGTCCTTTAACGAAGATTTGTGGTCTATCAAATCTGATGTAGTGACGGGGGCGTTCACACACTGCAGACTTCCCGTTGTCGGGTATTTAAAAAGTTAAATATACGCGATAAAATCCGTAAAAGCTAGTATTATTTAAACGAGCACACAGTCCACATGATGGTAAGTAGATGCTGTAGCCCATAGACATCTATATTTATCCTCGATTAAAAATCAAAATGCAGATGCGTTGTCACCTCTGAGGACTAAGATGTAATGCCTCGTTTAAAGTAAAAAAGGGTCTCCGGAATTCAACACTCACCGTACAAAACACAGCAGCATTAAGCTGCTATTTTACGCTGGTATTCTGTGAGAGCGTGGTCCTTCCCCGGTCTAGCCGACCTATTCGTGCTACAACCATAATATAGCTGCAGCGTGGCTCTACCACGTATAAAGTTTACCAAAACTGTAACGTAAAATTTACGAGTTACCTTTGAAATTCGACCACTTAGTGCATATTAATATAATAATATTGTGGCCGTAGAATGGAAAGGAGGAGATCTCCCGCCGAGAAATTATCAATCACCGTTTCATTACACGGTGATTGATAATTTCTCAAAACATTGCGGTGTACGAATATCCATATCATGCCGTTTATCGTAAGAGGCGACTAAGCTTGGGGAAGTATTATTTTTCACCGTGATGTTAGTTATCAGTTTTGATTAATAGGCGACAGAGTGAAACAAGCTGCTGCTGAAGCTGAAAATCTGATAGGCCAGTGAACACTGTTCGTCAAGTGTCTCGAGGGCAAGTCGCTGTCGCGATCTGCCCTTGAGACGCTTGTGTCGCAAATGTTTCGCGAAAATGGGTTAATCTTGCCATGACAGTGTGGTACTCGATGGAGGTCTTTATAAATAATGTCTTGAACTAATTGTAAACGAAAAGACAAATGATGTTTTTGTTCGTTACAAAATTTTTCAAAGTGGATTCTAGAATTAAGAATGGTAACATTTAAAAGCCTCTAGAAGAGCTTCATGATCCATTTTGCATAACGTTTTCTCTCCAATAAATATGGTTCCAGCATTTGATCTTTACGATCAGTTCCACCCATATTCTTATTATAATCAAGAACCAACTGGGGTTTCCACTGAGGCGGCACATGGGGCTTGAATGGTGTCAGCCCTTGCTCAGTGCCATGGTACGTACTGATTAACGGAATCCTTTTTTATCCTGATACGCCATTATAAAAACGTCACCCGAGTGTCGCGCCAGGAACTGACCTGCCTGTAGCTTACAGAGTGACACCAGAGATGACACATTTTGACTGTTGGGTCGTACTGTTCCCACACAATCGGTTCGACGTTTCTTCAAAAACCTCGCCAGGAGGGGGCAATTGAACCAATTGTCCATAAAAAGAGCCTTTGTCGAGCAGTGGCCAAATGAGTTTGAGTACAGTTTTATTACTCAGGTTAAGTGACGATGGAAATCGAGGATCGGGGGATTTTCCTTTCCAGTGTATACGAAAAACGACCGCATGTATCCCATAGCAGACTCGCACAATTCTAAAGTTTTTATTCCGAATCCGGTCGCTTTAGTCTTTATGTGTTGTTTGAAAGAGAGTTTGTCTTTAAATAAAGTTAAGCTCTCAACAATACATGCTTCCTGTTTAGGAATATAAGCGGATTAAAAGCGGAAATTCAAATGATTTATAATTGTTTCAATAGGGAAGATAGGGTGAGAATCAGGTGTACATTGCGTTATTTACAAAATGAAGAGCGCGGCACAAATTTTGATACCTATGACGTGAAAAAAATTGGCGGAAAATATTGGTCTTCAATCATTGAAGTAATATGTACTTACGTACTAGAACAGCTATCTCAAACAAAAAATGTGCGCTACTCTGTGTTCGCGCGGTTGTTTTTTTTATCATAGAATAAACATAGATAGAATGACCCGTAGGTAATAGTAGATTGTATTGTTAAATAGGTAAATTATATCGAGAACAATATTTAAATTTTGTCATTTATTTTGTATATTATATTTCCTTATTTAATATAATATTACATAATATTATATCACAATTACATTTTAATGATATTTTTATCTGAATATTTTAAAAGGTATCCATGTCAAATATAAAAAACATATTAAATATATGTTTAAAAAAACTTATTAACATAACATTTAAATTACAAACATATTTTTTTTAAATTGGGATAAAAGTCGTTCATAAATAATGGGCACGCGAGAGTTAAAAATGGACGAATTTATACCACTTTGACTTTGATGTGGAAACCTAAAAATAAAATAAAAGAATAATAAGCAGATTTAAACATGAAAAATGTAGACTGATTATAATAACTTATATATGTTTCTACAAAAAATGTGTATAATAATATATTCGTCCTATACTTAAGTACCCACAGAAATGTCGCATCTGAACATATTAATTTCATAATCTATATTCCATGACACGAGATGGCGTCTTAGGAATAATTTGTTTTATTATTAATCTATAATACTTTTTTATCGATTAAGTATCTTATTAACCGATGAAAAGTAATTCCTTGGTTTTTACTGACATTTCTTGAATTATTTGCGCAATATCTAAGTACACACGACGGCATATTTTTATTAAAATTTTTTTTTAAATCAACACAACACGTGACAACTCTACAAGCGCCTAGCGAGTGACTGATTAAAGTGCGGTGTATGCACCGCAGTTGAGTGGAACAGAGTAGCTGAATGCAGTGTCGCCTCTAGTACGTAGTACATAATAGCTCAATGTCTTCAATAGAGAATTTTCAGAAAAACAAGATGCTATGGAGGGCATACGGATGATCCCCAACATCATCCAAAAAGAAAACAGGATAAATAGGTCATGTGTATTTATTTTGAAACAATTTAGTGCAAAAGTATCATTGATACAAGCCAGATCTACAGCATACCGGTTTGTTTCTATCGTTATATGAGACATGATGCTCTCGTCCCAATATTGGCGGAATGCCTCATACGCACTTCCGGACGGCGTAGTTGACTCTGTCCTTTCCGGAAGAAACGTTTCTCTTTCACCTTGAAAGGAGTCCATGGGGCGCCAATCAAAGTGACGAGAAGTTGCATCTCCTTCGAACAGGGCCGCATGTCCAATGTCAACCGCCACATCATCATTATCTACTTACATCCTTCTCCTTTCGGCCCTCCACTCTCGAGCTTCTCTATCAGCCACCGCTCTCAAAATCCTATGGCGCAAATCCTCAGGCACATACTTCTACAAGGTGGTCGCCGCGCCGCCACGATGAGGAGGCGGAGACGCGAGCACCGCGGGCGCCTCGTGCCTGACGCCCACCTGCCGCTGCCGTCGCTGGGAACCGCGCGCCTCGCACAGCACCATCACTCGAACTCGTCACCACCTCCTCTTGATATAGTTCATGCTGGTCCACCAACAAGTACTTGTTGCCATTCTTCTCACCTAACCGCTCAACGACAACGACCACTTCTGGACTAACATTTCGCCTGCAAGACAAATATAAAAATTATATAACATAATTTAGTTCGTACATATTTTATGTAATACTAGCTGTTCCCCGTGACTTCGCCTGCGTATTAATTTAATGACCATTAGATTTCATGGATTTTAATTTAATCGAGTCAAGAGGGTTATTTACATAATGGAGTTGCTCAGGAACTGTGCTGATAAAAAGACACTTCGTATGGTTTATTTTGCCCTCTGCCAATCTCTAATACAATATTGTATATCAGCTTGGGGTGGTGCCTCCAAAACCACGATGTTGCAGTTGGGGAGGGCACAGAGAGCAGTTCTCAAGGTCATGTATAAAAAGCCCTACCGGTACCCTACGGCCGATCTTTATCGGGATAGCGAGGTTTTGAGTGTACGCCAGTTGTATATTCTATCCGCAGTTTTAAAAACCCATGGGCAAGTAATTCAGTCGCCTATTTACGACAACCTAATCACTAAACGAATATTTAAAATCCCAATTCCGGCTTCCAGGTCTGTTTCGCGCAACGTCTTCCACAGTTCTCACATCCTCATATTTATAACAAAATACTTAAAGTCTGTGACATCAAAAATTGCACCACTTTGAAAGCTAAACATATAGTAAACTAACTATAATGTAAACATATAGTAAAAATATCTCACACACTAAATTATAATGATACCAAAACTTAATATTAAAGCAAAAATAATACCAAATTATATCTACGTTTCACACTAAAATATTGTATTCATATTTTTCCTAGGAATAAAAAATAAATATTAATGTAAGCGACAAATAGTTAAAAACTATCTTCCTAAATTAAGAAATAATTTGTTGTTCTGTATAATTTTGGGTACTTTTAATTACGTAAGTAAAACTGATAACCGTACTCCTGGTCCCCAAGATACAGGCTATGCCTAGTTTGGGGCCCGCCAGTACCTTTTTTATATGTAATTAGAATTTATATGTAATTAGAATTTATATGTAATTGGTATTTAATTTACTATAATATAAGTTAAAATTAATTTAATATAACTCACTTTTTTCCCAATGTTCAGGCCTGTAGCTCTATTTCTAGGAATAAATGATTTTTATTTATTATTTTATTAATTTATTTGTGTGGAACCCTAATTATTCCTTATAACACCAGTTACCTATCTGCCAGTGAAAGTCCCGTTAAAATACTCCATAGAGTAGGGAACGTCGCAGCGACGCGGTATCGAACGGTTCGTGTATTGCATTTTTATACCTGTGATGAATTCTAAATTAAATTTCCGATTCGAAAGAATTACAGCTACATAAATACTTTTAATGATAAAACTATCTGTTTAAATAAGAATTAATACTATGAAACTAACCAACTAACCATCCTAGTTGCCACGGCTCCTATAAACTATTAAATATAACAAAAATGTATTTAGTAGAATAATTATATACAAATTTATTAGATAGAATCAAAGATGAAAATAGTACTAGACTCCAAACAGTTAGTATAATTCCTTCATGGGGCAACGTAGGTATGCTTATACAGCAAAGTCCCAGAAAATATAAGACCTTATCAATCAGTCTAAATTTTTAGTAAGCAAAATTTGTTTAGTAAAGATTATTATACTACTTACTACTACTTAAGAGTATGTAATAATAATAATAATAAATAATGTAAGGCGTAGGGAAGTGACGACCCCATCGCCCGCTGACGTAACGGTTATGTGACAAAACTACGTCAGCGCAGTCAGTCAGCACCTTGCCAAGAGGTGTTAGTGCCGTGCCTCGGCAAAAATTGAAGGTGCAAAGGCCCGCTTGTGCACATGTCCTCACCATGAAACGGCGCCGGGTTTGGGTGTCTCCCGCTAAACGACGCCCTAAAAATGGATGATGGAATTAAATAGAACGCGCAAAGGGTCGCTGCCTGGAGGTTGCCAGGGCGCGTCTGGAGCTGGCGCTGGACGCGACAGCATGCGAACCGCCAGCCGAGCGCGAGGTGCTGCACGACCACCCAGCAGCCCCTCGCATCCATCATCCCCACCAGCTGGCTTGGTGTTGGCAGGGTCTTCGCGGGCCCAGCAATCGACACCCGCCACTGGTGGAGTACGCCGCATGCGTTGGACAACTCAGATAAACAGCAACGCATTGCGGGCGTATTTTAGGGCGAAAGGGGGAGAAACTGGAGGTTTTGCTTATCGGGAAACGATGCATCGACTTTTTGCTGAGCTGGAGCCATCTGTAACCGTCACCGAGCAAAACCTGGCAGACCAAGTTCGGTATATCTTGCGCTCAAATACATTTGATGTCACCGAACTCGAACGGCTACGACGTGAGGCTGTTCCTTCATCGGGTGAAAATGCTGTGGCTGAGGATGCGGCGCCACAACTTGCTGAGCAAACGGCAAATGTGAATGCCGCCGTAAATACGCCAGTTGTGGTTGATTGAAACGAAGATGGAACAGTCGCCCAGGAACTGGAACTAGAGCAAATGAGGAGTACATTGAAAGAGGCGATTGTGGAAACGCGCAGTACGCCTCTCGAAAATCGACCGCGACTTCCCTGCTTAGCCCTAAGCAAGCGGAATCGTGCTGTCGTGAGGGCTCTGAACCCAATGCTGGTTACCTATTTGGAAGCCAGCCGGGACCTTTGCGAGACGGACTCAATTCTTTTTGGCGCCGCACTGGCAGTCTGCCGTATTATAGGCGCCTAACTTTTCACGGCTTGACGCTTTACTGGACAAAGTAGTGCTATCCCAGCCTGGAGAATAAGAACTGAAGAACGTATCGCAAAGGCTAGGGCCCTCATCGGAAGACTGATATGCTTCAGGTCAGGCAATACCAGGCCAAGGATTGTGCGCACCGTCAGGATGGCGTTTGCTGGGACAAATATTAGTTTGTCCCAGCCGGATATAATGCAAAAACTGACGGAGCGCATAGACGACCTGAAGCAAAGAATCACTGCTTCGGGAAAGCGGATTCGGCAATATACCGAGAGGTCGACACGGTTCAACCAGAATCGTCTCTTCTAGAGTGATTAGAAGAGGCTCTATAAATCATTGGAGCGACCAATAGTAAGTGGAACGGGCCCAGCACCAAATCAGGCCGACACGGTCGCATTTTGGTGCCTGTGGTCAGAGCGCGTAAACCACAACGAGGGCCCTTGGACGGAAGTTGTGGCGAGTCAGTGTGCGGGTATTACGCCCATGGACCCCGTTATCATAACGCCGGATGACGTAGCTGAGGCGGTTCGTAGGGCCCCGAACTGGAAAAGTCCGGGGCTTGACGGGCTGCATCACTACTGGCTGAAGGGGTTCATGGTGTGTCACGCTGTGCTCGCCCGACAGTTTCAAGAGGCTCTCAACCAGAAGTCGCTCCCAAGCCTCTTCACTGCTGGGATCACTCATTTGGTTCCTAAAGATCAGGGTGCCACAGACCCGAGCAAATACCGCCCCATCACGTGTCTACCGACTATATACAATACACTAACATCCATTTTGAGCGCCAGAATCGCTCGTCACCTGGACTCAAATCAGGTGATGTCGCGCGCTCAAAATGGATGTTGGGGCGGTGGTCGTGGAACCAAGGAAACACTCCTCATTGACGCGGTCATTGGCAAAGTGGTGAAGAACTTCTCCGCCGCCTGGATAGATTACAGAAAGGCATTTGACACGGTGCCCCATACGTGGCTAAAGAGGGTCCTCGAGCTGTTCAAGATAGACTGTACAGTTCGAGACTTTCTCGAGCAGTGTATGGGGTAGTGGAGTACGATTCTCTGTCATCTAGGCGAGCGGATGACGGCTGCGGAGAACCGCATAAGAATAAGAAGGGGTATATTCCAGGGCGACTGTCTGAGTCCAATCTGGTTCTGTCTCCCTTTGAACCCTCTCAGTACTATACTGGAGGGCTCCGGGAGGGTATTTCAGCTACGGAAAGGAGGTACAAAAGTGACCCACCTTTTTCTATATGGATGACCTCAAATTATTCGCCTCCAGTCGCTCCCATCTTGTGGAATTGCTAAACATCACTTGTGAATTTAGCAATTCCATTAGAATGGAGCTGGGGACGGATAAGTGTACGGTCCTCTATGTTGAAAGGGGAAGGGTTGCTAACTCTGAGGGCGTAGACTTATCTATGCCCGTTAACTTAAGGGCCCTTTCCGAGGCTGAAACATACCGATACCTGGGTATGTCACAAAACATCGGTATCGATGAGGCTGGTATGAAACAGTCAGTTTGCGACGTGTTTTATGCACGCTTGACCAAAGTGCTTAACAGCCTTTTGTTCGGTGTGAATAAGGCACATGCATATAAGGGTTGGGTCATGCCTGTCTTCATGTATACCTTTGGCATACTCAAGTTGACTCAGACTGAACTTAACGCCCTGGATAGAAAAGTCCGCACTACAATGACGTCCCATAGGATGCATCATCCGAGATCGTTGGTAATGAGGCTGTACTTGCCGCAAAAGCATGGTGGGCGTGGCTTCCTGAGCGCGCTCACCATGTATAATCGCGAAGTCTGCAGCCTCCGTCATTACTTCCTGGCGAGATCGGATGATCCATTCTATAATGACGTCATTTCTAGTGATAAAGAACTTACCCCTCTACCCTTAGCCAACGAGCAATGGCAAGACCCGGCAGTACAGAGCATTTCCGACCGAGAGACCGTATGTAAAGAGAAGGAGCTCCACGGGAGGTACTACAGAGCTCTACATGAGCCTCACGTAGATACAGCTGCCTCCCTCCACTGGCTACGTTTCGGTGACCTCTTCGGGGAAACCGAGGGTTTTGTCTGTGCAATACAGGATCAGGTTATTAAGACCAACAACTATCGGAGATACATCCTAAAGGACGGCATTGTCGACGTCTGTCGAGCTTGTCGCCATCCCGGGGAGTCATTTAGGCATATCATCTCCGGTTGTTCGGCGCTTTCTAACTCTGAGTACTTGCACAGGCACAACCTAGTAGCCAGAATTCTACACCAGGAGCTCGCTCTGAAATACGGTCTCGTGGACCGAAAATTGCCGTATTACAAGTACTTGCCGGAAGCCGTGCTCGAAAATGACCGCGCCAGGGTCTACTGGGACCGGGCCATCATCACGGACAGGACTATTCTTGCGAATAAGCCTGATATTGTGCAGCCCAACCAGATGTGATTACTCTATAATATATATATATATTTGTATATATATATATATAATTAAAATTTATTAATAATATAAAATTATATCGACATCGTAATAATATACACTCAGTAGGAGCCTCTAATAAATTGAAATAAAATCAAACATAGGTATATTATATTTATTTGTTGTTTATGTATTGTTTATTGAGAAACGCTATTTTTGTTGAAAACAACTTTGTCATAATTTTCACGATATATCGAAATTATAATATAAAACGTCATTATTGCACATTGAGTTTATTTATTTATTTATTTATTACAAGACCCACAGCTCTAATTACAACGTATTTAAAGCTTAAGAAATATACTTACAGCCAATAACGGATCTACTTTACGTGCGTGCGTGCGTGCGTGTGCGTGTGTGTGTGTGCAATATACATATTAACCATTTCCTTCAAGTAATTCAAGAACTTCCCTCTTTAACAGATTCCTACTGCTATGAAAAATATCAGTAGCATTAAATTGGTTGTTAAAAGTTCTATGCAATCGACTGACCAATGCGTTTTGTGTGTAATTTGTTTTTGATCGTGTTACAGCAAATACTTTTGTCTGTCTGGTTCTAACTTTCGGGGCGCAGAAACTCAGTATTTTGATTAATAGTTCAGGGCTATCTATATATCCGTTGCATATTCCGTGTAAAAAGGACATGTCAGCAAGTACACGCCTATTTTTGAGAGTCGTAAGATTATGATAATGGCAGAATTCATCATAATTTTTGAAATGGCAATGCGACCGATAATTTAAATGTTTTATGAATTTTTATTGCATTTTTTCTAAATCTGGAATACAAATGATATACTGAGGGTTCCAAATTATGCTACAGTATTCTAGGATGCTCCTAACATAAGTGTAATACAGTACTTTTAGGCAACCTATGTCTGAGAAGGGACGACTAACACGCAATACGAAACCCAGGCTTCTGTACGCTTTATTTTAATCGTTTCTGTATGATCAGAAAATGTCAACTTGCAGTCAATGTGAACACCAAGATACCTAACATAAGCAGATTTTGCAATTTTATTTTGCGTTATTAATATAGTATTCAAAATTGATCGGATGTTCCTTGCGAGTAAACGAAATAAAAGAACATTTATTTATATTTGTACCAATTCGATTATCAGTATAATATTGTTCTAGACGGTTAAGATCAGTTTGTAGGCCAGTACAATCCATATCGTTTTTAATTTTCATAAATATTTTGGTATATTAGCGTACATAAGGAATTGAGCATGTTCGAAGCAAGCACCTACGTCGTACAATTATGTTGCATACAGAAGTGGTCCCAGAATGGGTCCCTGTGGGACGCCGGAAGGTATTGCAATAACATCTGAGTAAAATCCTCCTATGATGAAAGCTTGAGATCGATTGCGTAAATAAGATTCCATCCATCTAAGTAAAGTACCCCGGATACCAAGTGCATAAAGTTTACGTAAAAGAATAATGTGATCCACACGGTCAAATGCCTTCTCAAAATCCGTGTAAATCACATCAACCTGAGACCCAGATTGGTAGCTGTGGACCGACCCTTCATGAAACCATGCTGCTCTATTGGTATTAAGAGCGATATTACAGGATAGATAAATTTATGTACGACCCTGTCGAACACTTTGCTCAACACGTTGAGGATAAATATTGGTCGGTAATTTTCAACTGCAGTCCTCGATCCGTTTTTAATGAATTGGAACTATATGGGACTTTTTCCAGATATTAGGAAAGTATCCATCTTGAAGGCACCTGTTGAAGATCAATGATACAGAACTCGATAGAGATTTAGCACATTGAACAAAAATACCGGTGGAATGCCATCGCAACCAGCTCCCTTTTTGAAGTCAAGATTTTTAAGCAGTTCATAAGTACACTCTTCAGTAACATTAATGTCATGTATAGTATCAGATCTGGGAGTTTCATTTGTTGAGTTAGGTGGGTATTGATTCGCTGGTTCACGAAAGTTTCTCTCAAAAAAGTTGCTGAGTGCGAAACAGATATCCGATGGTGCATTTAACGCATTTTGATCAAAGGTCATTTGTTGGGGATAAGAGGATCCTACTTTTCTCTTGGACTTTACATAAGATCAAAAATATTTTGGATTAGTCTTAATTCTAATTGTTTGTTCCGAGAAAACAATGAACGATTGATAGCATTCGGTCTGCAGTTTCTTAATATTCCGTCTGAGATAGCTAAAATGTGCATAATCAATCGGGTTTCTATTACGCTTCCAATTTAAGGCATGAGTCCTATCTTTTTCTTTAATTAGTTTTATTAAT